TTTATCTTATCATGCATGCAAAATAAAATTTATATCTAAGACTAACAAAAGACCATGTCCTGCTACGACTTGTTTTGTGTGAGTGTGTGTGTTTTTATTATTATTATTTCTTGTGGAGATTATGTCTAATGTTTTGTGATTTTTCTTGTCGTTTCCTTGGTAACTTCACATTTCATTGTGTTCATATGACAAATATGGACTTTCGAGTGCTGGGATATGTGCTCATTTTTTTTTTTAAGTAGGAACCCTGCAGTGAAAGCTACTAGTTTTGCACTAGCATATTGGCAGGTTGCTTTGTAGCGCAACTAGTTTGCTTACTAATGGATTTTTTTTTTCATCAGTGGCTTTTTCCTAATTCGGTAAGCAAGACGAGAAATACGTACTTTAACCCGACGAGTTGCTCGTTCACGATTGTTATGATTTGAGCCCAGTATACATACACACATGTGTGCAACCGAAAAAGCTGTCTGGGCGAGGGTGAACCGGAGGTGCGGTCAGAGAGATCTTCTCGAGGTCCCAACCCGGCAAACATTGAGGTTTATTATTGATTAGAGAATGATTGGAGAACTGTCACATTCTCCAATCTCAAGCGTTAGTGAACGACTCGAAAAACTATCGAGAATCATAGCGATCTCAACAAAAATGGGACATAGTTCTCGACTCGAGAAAATATTAATTCTCTAATCGAATTCTAGTGTTGATCTCTAATGGGATTCGAATGTGAATTTACAAACTGCTTTTTTGCTTTATTAAATATAAAACGTTTTGTTTATAAAATTAGTATTAAATGTATTTGCAATAAAATAATAATGAATTATTTGAACTCAAAAATAATTTATGACCCATTAATTTGGAATTTTGCTTATTTATATTTATTTGAATTTACGTTGTTTCGTTGAATCGTTCTCGAGTCGAATTCTAGTGCACTTCTCTAACTTCGTCATCGACTCGAGAACGAATAGAGAATTACCCTAGTTATCTAATGTAGAAATCCAAATTTCTCTAACGTTAGCTGGGAATTCCGCAACTCCAATTGTGGTGGATGCAGTGGCGGATTTACCGTAAAGGCAACATAGGCAGGTGCCTAGGGTGGCAAAATTTAAGGGCGGCAAAATTTGCGTTGAAAAAAAATACTTTTTTTTTCAAGTTAGCTGCGCTGAAAGTAGAATTTGTGTTTGTACATTTTAAGACATAAATTTGAGATTCAATTACGCATTCAGAAAATAGGACAACACTGTTGGGTATTTTTGATATTATTGAAATGATAATAGATATTTAAAAATACTAATTTAGTATTTTTACGATTATAACTTATCCAAGTGAAAAAACTTTATTGATGATGGCTTTATTTAAAAGTTGAAAACCTTTACTCACGGCAAATAACACTTTTTCATCTTAAATTGTAATAAAAGTGTAGTAAATAACAAAAATTTGAATATTACTATTTACAGCCAATCCTTCCAAAACTGGTACTTTTACCTCAAAATATTTTTCTTATCGGAAAAAGGGCGGCAAATTCTGAATTGCCTAGGGTTGACAAATATTCAAATCCGCCACTGGGTGTATTGACAGGACACTGTCCGATTGGTATTCACGTGGTGAGAGTAAACGCCACACCGAATATTCAACGTCGCAATTGCTTAAAGGTCGAAAGCTTCTTCAAACGCTTCAAAGGAAGTAACTTGTTGAAATCAGTAAATAAATGTACATGTGGTTTCATGAAAGTTTATTCCAGAGGCTTTTAAGTTCTGCGATAGACCTAACTAAATGTTTGTATTAACTTTTCTTAAAAAAAAAACAAAACCGATATAAAAATTTAAGATTATCTTTAATTTCATCATGATCCAATGATCGGATTTAAACCAAATTAGTGTGGTTAATGAAGAAATAGGAAAAAATTACCAGTCATTTTGTATATACAAAAAATATGTGCAAATTTTTTTGCCCGAATAATAGGGCTTTCTTGCTCTAATTATAAAAACTATACAATTTACTAAAATCGAAAATGGACTCGGAGTTTAAGTTTAAAATGATTTCGATCGAGACCCTAGAATTTCTCTACAAGTTATTTAGTTTTTTTTTTTTAAGTGTAAAAGTACGAGAGGGCAAGGCAAAAAATTAATACAAGTGGAACGCTGAAGCACAGGACAACAATAAAAAGTATAAGAGGATATGTGCACTACATGCGTTTAATACATTTCATTATGTACCATAAATGCATGAGCAAGTTTTTTATTCATGCTCATATTAACTGTATGTTAACTGTATGTAAATAAGCATGTAAATTAGGGTGCCCACCAAAAAAAAGTTTCCAATTTTCCACCAGAATTATAAAATGTATAATATTCTATTAAATTCCGCCAAAATATTAAGGCTAAAAAGGAAGATTTACGCGAGATAGACCGATTTGAAAATATCTTGTTTTAATCTTGATAAGATTTCTTTTCTTTTTTTCTTTTTTAAGATTTTCAAACATTTTTAAACTTAAACTCTTCTATCATCTGGCGTGATTTTTTGGGGGAAAACATTAAAAAAAAAATTATTTTACATAATTATGTATAAAATACTCGATTTTTGGGTCCAGTTCACGTAAATCTTAATGCTTTTCCGAAATATTTTTTTTTTTTTTTTTTAGTATGGAGAGTGATGCACCCTAATGCGCGTATGCTATGTGGGGTCCTAGCTTTTTCTGCTGTATCACGATTACTTACACACATAAAAACATGCTAATAAAAGCAATAGTACTCGTAATTTTTATAGCACCAACAACTTCAACAAGAGAATTCATTATTTCATATTTTGGATGCCGCAGATAGTACATACATATCTGTATTTTTTTTCTTTTGTGCTGACAAAATTTTGCTGAAATGTAAATTCAACGCATTCAAACTATGGAACTTATTAGATGCTCATGTGTATGCATATGCATGTAAGTGCATAAATATGTATGTACTTATACAAATACATATATAACTATGTAAATACAAAGGCATACATTTTTATACGCACATACATATGTTTGTAAATATTTGAGTATTAAAGTAGAACAACCTACTATGTATGCAAATAGACCATTTTGTGGACCATTACGGACAGCACTTTTGTTTGACTGCATTTTTGTTTTTACAAATTTTGGAGGTTTTTAGGTTATGAAAAATGTATTTGAATAAAATCTGTTGCATGCCGCAAGGAAGTAAGTTATGTTGCTCTACTTATTTTGGTAGTATTGCGCGGCTATAAATATAGGTCGTATGAATTCTTAATTGCAATAAATGTTCTTTTGTACAGATGGTGTTAGGCATTAGTTTTCTTAGTCGTAAAGTCATAATAAAAAATAAAAAAAATTTATATAGATTTTTTTTTTAATAAGAATGGTGGATATCATACGCAATTCATATTTATTAACGTTGTATGTATGTATTTAATTGTATAAGTATCAGAACCGAAAATAACAGTTATTGATGAAAACGTTTATTACAAAATTCACTATGAAGAAACCGTAAAGTATATCAATCAATTTATTTTTTCACTGAGAATCAAATTTGAAAATATTTTTTCTTTTTTGTAATTTATATGCAAAAAAAAAGTAATTTTTGATTTTTAATTTATAAATCTGTAAATAACAGTTGATTCTGATTTTTTCAAGTTTGATAATAACAGTTATTTTTGATTTTTATTTTGTAAATCTGAAAATAATAGTTATTTCTGGGTTTTATTTTATTTTATAACTTGTTCGCCCTACGCCCCATAGGAGAAGCCAGTTAAGCCTAGGCTAAACTATAGTAGTAAATCCCAGTATGAGTATTTGTGCGCTTCAAAAAATAACCCACATGAGTCCAACTCCGGCTAAGACTTAAGTGGTTCCTTCTATCGGGCTTAGATCAGACACGTTTGGCTCAGGCTATAACGATTTATCCTATCCCATGTGAGTAGAACTAGTTTGTCCGAAAATCGGATTTGACCGGTAACATATATTATAAAGAGTGGTCCATATAGTCGTTTCTTTTTAAAAATTATAAAAATTACAGAAATAGTCTTCTTTTCGGTATGTTAATGATTTGATCGAAAAACCAACACGATTTTATTCATGTGGCTGCCTCGGCTGACTTCGCAATAGCGCATCTTGTAAACGCAGTTTTTCTAAGCCGTGGTGACGGTTTCAGTCTGCATCTCACGAATGGCTTGCTCGATATTCGCCTTAAGAGCCCGATTCATAAATGGATTGTTCGCATAACATCGGTACTTCAGGGCAGCCCACAAAAAAAGTCGAACGGCGTCAAAGCGCAGCTCCCAGGTGCCCAATTGACATTGCCGAGACGGCTGATAGCACGAGTACTACACTTGGCGCACAAAATATCGATTGCGGCTATCGCCCCAAACGGTCACCCTCGAAGATCACGTGCGGATTTTCCGATCCCCAGCTGCGGCAGCTTTGCTTGCTAACGTAGCCCCTGAGATGAAAATGCGCTTTACAGAAAAGATTACACCGCCGCACAAAAAAAAATGGTGGGTGCTTTTAACCAGACCCACCTTCCGATATGTATTTCGAACATCTGAATCCGTTTCGAATATCGGGTCCGTTTGACTTTTACATACTCAAAATTTCGTGTAAATTTAGGAAATGGCGTTTTTTTTTTGTAATTTTTTCGGTTTTTCGCAATTTACTAGAAATTTTGAGGATGTACAAGTCAAACGGAGCGCAGATCCGAATTCAGCGGGTCGAAATACTTATCGGAAGGTGGGTCTGGTTAAAAGCTCACACCACTTTTTTTGCGCCGGTGTTATTATTTCACAACGTTGCTCAGATTTGATGCCGATTTCGAGTCAACATTTCCAGCGGGAAAGAGCTTTCACTGTCAAAGTAACATTTGATTTAAAGAACAAATATCACTATATGAACCACCCTGTATATGTATGTATGTAGAGGCAATATTTCTCAAATAAATATTGTAAAAATGTGTAAAAATGTGTTATATTTGTAGTGTTTGTGTTTTGTTTACCTTGTGTTTTATCGTTTTTTGCAGTTTCTTGGGCTAAAAAGAAACAAAAAAAAGAGGAAGCATAAGTAAAAGGATAAAATAAGTTTGGCAAAGGATATCATAAAAGTTAAATTTTGAAGCGAAATGCAAGTATATATGTGTATTCAAAAAGGCGTAGTTGAAAACTAGAATAAACAGAAACGAATTTGAAAATGGTTACAATAAATTGTTAAGATTTTTCAAAAGTTTTCAAAATCAAAGTGAAATTAATGTAAGAAGCTTCAACGAAGACCCTACAAAAAGGTACCAAACTACCAGCAAAAATACCACTAAAACAAGTCGTCCACAAATGAGTGCAAATGAGTGCAATGGGAAATGCAAAAAGTGCATCAGCATTGCAGCAGAAAACACAGCGATGATTGAAGTTCGTTAATTAGACTCATCAACGCGGAAGAACGACTTTTTAAAAGTACAAAGTGCGCAGTAATGAAGCGTTGGAGGAGCGCAGGAAGTGCGAGACGACCAAAGCAAAAATGAGTGCAGAAGAAAAACTACTACATGCTTAGTATTCGTCGATGGCACGAGAGAAGAATATGCGCATGTGATTTTAATAATGCCAGAATGCGAAAGTACGAGTACTTTGCTGCTGCTGCTGCAAAAGTTCAACACTTGAGCAATTCTTAAGCATTCCAGTGGGGGGCTGACTGACACACAAGCCACGAATTAACTTTGGCGCACCGCACCGCACCGCACTGCAAAGCAGACTAGCTTTTTAGTGGCAGAATTTGTATGCTGGTGCTTTGATTTCGTTAAAAAATTATTTGTAAATTTTAGAAAATACAATTTTTTTAAGTTTTCAATAACTTTATGGAACTTTCCCAAAATATAATTGCCGCGTATTTTTGTAACAATTTTTTATTTTTTTTTCTACTACTATTTTAACAAGTTTTCAACAGCACAGCCACACTGTGCGCCATTCTTCTTGTACAACTGTGGAATTCCCATCAGATTTGAGTAAAAAGGAGCACCACTTTCATTTTCGCTTTGCATTTGAACAATTCGTATTTGCATAGGAAATGCATTATGTTCGCACTGTTGATTAGAACAATTGTAGCGCGAAATTTGGGTTATCAGGCCAACATTTACATGGCTAATAAATTAGGCAATGGCGAAAGTAAGTAAAGGACATGATTTGTGCTTTGTTTCTTTAATATGAAAGCACGCTTCGTTTGAATCGAAATGCTCGAAAGAACAATGTCCTAATTTTAATGTTCTTGTCAGCGAGCTAGCGAGCTTTGGAATGATTAAAATATTTACGGTTAATATGTGTGTTCAATGTTTTCCGTTAAGTGTCGACTTAAAAAATTAACATGTTATTATTCTACACTCTCGACCAATAGTTTTCTGTTGTTCCTAATTTAATTTTAATAGATTTTCATTAAAAAGGCAATAGTGTAAACTTTCTTGAAAGCTCTTTAGTGTGTTTCGGAAGGCTAATTGAAATATCTGCAAACGTGGTGGTTTTGGCGTTTTGCTGTTCGCCTTTTAGGAAAAATTTAATTTAAAATATTACATAATATGAAAATAACGCAAAACTTAATAAAAAATATTTATTTAAAACATTATGAAATGTAAAAAAATATATGTATATGCACATATTTTTCCTTTTAAAACAATAATATCAAACAATTAAAAGAAAATTAAATTTAAAAAAAATTAAATTAAAAGAAAAGAAAATAGTACTTAAAAAATAAATGAAATAAAAAAACATTAATAAAAGAAAATTAATTTAAAAATGACAAAAAAAATGTTAAAAACAATTAAATAAGATAAGAAAAATAATATATATATCGATAAAATCTAAAACCAAAAAGTAAATTAAATTGAAGAAAAAAATATTTTTCTAAAAATTAAATTAAATCTAAACCCATATATTTTTCTTTTTAAAACAAAAAAACCTTAAAATAAAATTAGTGTTTAAAAATTAAATGAAATCAAAAAAATACATTTTTCCTTTTAAGACAATGAATTCTAATTATTAAAGAAAATCATTTGAAAAAAATAAAATAATTATTATACAAAAGAAATATCCGCTGCCCGAGTTTTCTAACCAGCGATGGGCACAGATAGCTTTTACTCTGCTCGCGCCTATACGAAATGTTTAGAAAGCTTAAAAGAGCATTGCTCGCGAGCAAAGCAGTGCCCATCAGTGTTTCTAACCCAGATCTCCCGAAAGGCATACCAGTGCTTTGCATACTCGGCCATTACGACTGTTGGAGCGACACGAGCGAAATGATATAAGTAATATCAGTGCTTTCTCTCAAAATAGCTCTTCACCACGAGTGGTGAATGAGAAAGCTGTTCTAAGACTTTGGCGCTGGAATAACAAAAGTCTTTCCAACTATCGTGCCATCCTTTTAGTCAGTCATACGCTTCGTACCACATTTACCACACAGAAACGTAGTTAGTTAGAAATAAATTTTAAGGCCCACCCTCTGATTATATTTTTGATATTCTTAATTCTATGACCCCGGACTACTCTATCTCAATTGGTCGTTAGCCGTTCATCTAACCTATCTTGAAAGCGGTGTTTTTCGCTTTTTACCTAAATTAAATGAAATTTCATTGTTGATAATTGAAGTCTAAAAGTTTGGACTTGTTAAAGTACCAGTTCGATGACTGCTAAATATCAATGGACTATTTAATATATGTAGGGTAGTCGAAAAATTTCGTAGAATTATTGGTCGTATCGGAACATCCTTAGTATCGCATGAAAGACGATATTTTGAGCAGTGAAATACGTTAAAAGTATTGGGTTCAAAAGTAAAGGATTTTCCAATAACTGCGTGTTGATAAGGAATGAAAATAAAAAAGGTATCTTCTTAGGGTGGCACGTATTCAACCGGACCAGTTTTGAATTACTCTGCCGCATAGATCCGACTAAATTTGAGCGATAGCCTGCGACTTTAGGAAGCGGGGTTAAATCGCACGATCTTGGTGAACAATTCACGTCATTCTCGAATTTTCTCTGAAAATTTCGAAACTAAGGATTAACCCAGCTTTGGACGACCAATCATAGAAAAAACAAGTAAGAAAGTCTAAGTTCGGGCGAAGCCGAACATTAAATACCCGGCGCAAGTATTAAATATATGTTTTTTCACCTTTCCGAAACCTTCCGCTAGATGGTAAGCCGGGGTGTATCAATTTTGAGTAAATTAGCGTCCTTCAATTTCGAAATATTGAAGTTTCAAGCATTTCTTAAATTTACCGTTATATGAGAATCGGCCGTTATTTTAGTCCGATTTCAATAATTTTCAACGTTTTGCTTACACGTGGCAAGTACAATAACCATACCGAGTTTGGTACAAATTGGTAGAACGGTTACCGATATACTTATATGTGATCATAAGTGGGCGGTGCCACGCCCATTTTCCAAAATTTTACCATAAACGTATTTCTTGGTAAAGAATTGTTGCAAGCATCAATTTTGAATAAATTAGCTTCAATATTTACTGATTTATCGAAGATTTTGTATTTCTCTAAATTACCGTTATATGGGATGTGGGCGTGGTTATTGTCCGATTTTTTAAATTTTCGGCCATTTAGTATGCTGTACCAAGGCCAACAACTGTGCCAAGTTTGGAAGAAATTGGTGCAGCGGTTACCAAGATATACACATGTAACCATAAGTGGGCGTGGCTACGCCCATTTTCCAAAAATTTATAATATTCTTATTTTTCGTCTAAAACTTATTGTAAATATCAATTTTGAGTGAATAATCTCCAGTAGTTACTAAAATATCGCAGTTTTCGTATTTCTGAAAATTACCGTTATATGGGAAGTAGGCGTGGTTATTGAGCGATTTTAAAAATTTTCGGCCATTTGGTATGTTGTGCGAAGGCCAACAACTGTGCCAAGTTTGGAAGAAATTGGTGCAGCGGTTACCAAGATATACACATGTAACCATAAGTGGGCGTGGCTACGCCCATTTTCCAAAAATTTATAATATTCTTATTTTTCGTCTAAAACTTATTATAAATATCAATTTTGAGTGAATAATCTCCAGTAGTTACTAAAATATCGCAGTTTTCGTATTTCTGAAAATTACCGTTATATGGGAAGTAGGCGTGGTTATTGAGCGATTTTAAAAATTTTCGGCCATTTAGTATGCTGTGCGAAGGCCAACAACTGTGCCAAGTTTGGAAGAAATTGGTGCAGCGGTTACCAAGATATACACATGTAACCATAAGTGGGCGTGGCTACGCCCATTTTCCAAAAATTTATAATATTCTTATTTTTCGTCTAAAAATTATTGTAAATATCAATTTTGAGTGAATTATCTTCAGTAGTTACTAAAATATCGCAGTTTTCGTATTTCTGGAAATTACCGTTATATGGGAAGTGGGCGTGGTTAAAGTCCGATTTCGCCCATTTTCAATACCAACCTACCTTGGATTAAGGGAAACCTACATACCAAATTTCGTTGAGATATCTCAATTTTTGCTCGAGTTATCGTGTACACGGACAGACGGACAGACGGACAGACGGACAGACGGACGGACAGACAGACATGGCTTAATCGATTTCTTTTTTCATCCTGATCATTTATGTATACATTTGTCTATATCTATCTCGATTCGTTTTGGCTGTTACAAACAACCGTTATGTGAACAAAATTAATATACCCTTGTGCACAAGTGCGCTCGGGTATAAAAATTTATGAAATAACAAGCAGACTGTTCAGAACCATCGACATGTAAGCAGCAATGAGATCGGTAGACAACTAAGTATAATCACAACAGTTTTTAACCTCTGGGGAGGTTGGATACAAAAAGAAAAGCGGGTTTTTCTATTAGTTGCCTATTCAGATAGCCAAAGGGGTATTATGTAGCGCACACTAGTATTAAACGCTTAGTAGCGAGAAGTACGGTAACACTTCGAATGCAGTAAGTACTGGAGAACGAAAGGGGAAATACCAGGTCAGGCTCTTTGGCAGTGCTTTCACTAGGTTGCTCATAAGATAGTACCTAACGCGTCACAACCATCTATACTCT